GTAACCCTTTGGTATGTGAGCTCTAGAACTTTGTGGCTGTCAGACAACATAGCATGGCTCCCATTCTGCACCATCCACCTACCTAAAGAGGGGGTTAAAATTAAAAAGCAGTAGGGGTCTGGAATCCTCCCTCTCAGCCTGGGAAGTTGCTGACCCAGCCTGTGGGTAAAAGAGCTGCCAATAAAGGGGGAAGGGTGCAGGAAAGGATGGCAACGGCATTGGACAGATGTCTTCTCAGCGCCCATGGCCAAGAGGTGTTTAGTATTCCAGGCCTCCCAGCTTTGTCCCAGCAAGCTCGGAGCCAACACCACCCCCTCACCCGAAACACTCAGGAACACTGGCCCTGCTCCAGGGGTAATAAACACCGGCAATCTATCCAATGAGAAACACGGACATACTGCTTCTCAAGACCCACACAAGCCCACCAAAATAGAAGAAAGAGAAAGACCCCCCTCCAACCTGTTCCTGGACCACTGAGGGACTAAAAAACCCAAGATCCTATTATTTGGTGATAAAAACAAAGTACTGATATATGCTATCCCATGTATGTGCCTGGAATACAGGCTAACTAAAAAAAAAAAGGAAAATTACAAGGACTACATCACTATATGATTCTGCTCTGCTTGTGTCAGAATAGTTGATCAGTCCAGACAAATTAGTGGGTTGCCAGGGGCTGGAAAGAGATGAAGGAATTGGGGGTAGGGGTTAAAAGGTATAAAGGGTTCTATGACATTAAAAAAAAACATTCTAAAGCTGACTGATGACAGAAGTACGATTCTATGGATTTCTTGAAAACCATTAAATTGTACACTTTTTATTTTGGCTATCTTAAAATCTCAACACTATAGCTCAGGCTGGTGTCAAACTCTTGGCAATCCTCTTGCCTCAGTTTCCCAAATGATGGGAATATAGGTATTAGCCATCACATTCAGAAAACTGTGTACATGAGTTTCATCACAATAAAACTGTTAAACACAAAACCACCAAAGAACCTACAGCATCTACCAGGAAGAAAGAAGTTCAACACTGGCTGCAACATTATAGCACATCTGCTAAAAGGTTAACATCTGCAGAGTCAAGGCTCCCACATAAAATTCCATAAAGGACAGAAGAGTGTAAAACAGGAAATTAAAGGCAAGATTATAACTATCTTCAAAGCAATGAGTCCAACCACTCTCCTCATCACTACCTATTTAATAGGTAGAGAAATCAAGATCCAAGCCGGGTGTGGTAGTGAATTCCTTTAATCTTAATACCTAGGAGGCAAAGGCAGGCAGAACTCTGAGTTGGAGGCCAGCCTGGTCTACAGAGTGAGTTCCAGGACATCCAGAGCTACCCAGAGAAACCCTGTCTAGAAAAAAAATGGAGAGAGAAAGAAAGAATGAAAGACCCTGAAAGGGAAATCTGCAAAGACCACAGAAAAGTTTAATATAGAAAAAGGACTCAGATCCATGTTGCCATGTCAGAGACCACATGCTGCTTCCTTACCAGCCAACCACCCAATTCCAGGTGGGCAAGCTTCTAAATGTGAAGAGATGGATCCTATTGACGGACAAAGCCTCTTGGGAAGAAAACAAGATGGTACTGGGGCAAAATATTCACCCTGAGCAAAAAGAACCAGCCAAGATGGTTAAGATATTTATACTCTAATAACCCTCATGAATTTTTTGCCCTAAAATGTGAGTTCTACAATCATAAAACCAGTTCAACAGTTAACACTAGAGTTTGAAATCAAGCCTGCCTGGCTCCAAATCCCAAATTCTTTCCACATACAACTGTGGAACTTCATAGCTGGCTACAACATTGCCACCCATTATCGTTAAGCCTCATACCAAATCCTACTCATCAAACCTCTATGACTGGGGAAGAAGTAAGGAAGAAAAAGAAGCTCCTCTTCAAAGAACACCTATTATTCACTATCAACTTCAGGTATAAGGAGCTTTGAAACCCCAAAAACAAAGCTAACTGGCAATGCATCAGCACATGAGCAAGAGAGTAAGGAAGGAAACTGCAGAGAGAAGCAGAAGCTATGCAGACTGAGAAGTAGGATCCACACACTGACTACACTGCTAAGCCTAGCATCTTCCACTATCTCAGCATGTATGCCCCTTTCTCCAAGATCTCTGTGAGGTCTCTCCTAGCTCAGGATGCTTACAAGCCAGTTTTCAGTGGACAGGCTCTCAGCAAGGTGACCATGCCAAAGGGAACCCTCTGGCATCATCTCCCCAGCACCCTGACCCCAGGTACCTGGAGAACCCTAAAGGGAACATGAATATATATTCATAGAACTGGAACCAGATTCACCACCCAAACTAATCATCATCCCCTTCTGTCAGTATCAAACTAGCCCCTGAGTTATAAACATCTTCAGCAACAGTTGTGGGCCAAGATTAGGGTAGCAGAACCATTCTCGCTTCTTCTCATCCCCAAAAGGCTCAATGTGTGGCCAGGAAAGGCAGCAAGAAAAGGAGGAGCTCTATCTTCCCTTTGTCCCACAGCAGAACAGAAAGCCTCTCCCCTGTCATAGGTAAGAGTAAGTTTTAGGAGTCCATCAGATCTTACTTCCAAGTTCTTATGAGGACGGATATAAGGGCAGAACTGCAAACTGCCTTTTGCATCTCCATAAACAACATACCTTCTCTGTCCCCGGAACAAAGAATGTATAGCTCTGTAAGGGGCAAACAGACTTTACAAGAATCAGGGATTCATAACTCCCAGACCTGACATCTGTGAATCCAGATGATTTGTTCCGTCAGAAATGATAAGAAAGGAACAAGAACAGTAGATTTGAGACCACACTCTGTTCTCTGAAAAATAGAAAAAAAATGTGACAAAGGAAATGGATGTGAGAGAAATTATCAGGACCATTGAAGTAGGAAGCAACAAATGAAATGAGTCAGAATCTCTACCAGTTTGAGGGATGCCTCAGGCTTCTGGGCCCAGGATCTGACAACCTTGTAGGCTCTGACCTGAGGGCAAAGAACTGTTATGAAAAGAACACCCAGGTCCTCTCTGTTCAAAGGAAGAAGCCTCTCGCCATACTCACGATGACTTCACATCCTCTCCTTGGTAAGAAAGAATCACCTGAGATGTTGGGAGGAGAGCTGCATGCCTAAGCAAGGACGCAGGCCTCAGTCCCCAAGGCAAAGAACCTCTTGACCCTGAGAGAAATGTTTCAGAGGTAAGAGGCCCAAGCTGCCAATGTCCCTGAGCCTCAAGTTCTCCCCAAAGAGAATCTTATGTTCCTAAAAGACTCCTATGAAGAATATACTTAGAATCTAAGGAGTAGAACAATCCCTCAAACAACAGATGTGATGCTGAAAGCCCTTGGAAAGAGACTAAGTTCCTGTTCCTCAGGGACCTATAATCATGCCCAAAAGAAAGTGCCACAACTCAGTCCTGGTGGGAAATGTCATCCTGTCTCTAAAGAGCACCTCAAGTTCCTTGAGCAGGAACTTCAGACATTAGCTCTTGAATGAGTCTTTAGGAGTATGAATATGAAGCTCCTGTTCCTAAGAAAACTCTCATGTCCTTCACAGAAAAGAAAGCCTCAGGCCTTGGAAGGCAGGTTTAGAAGCAGAACTCTGACACACCTCTGGGTCTCCAAACTGTCCATGCCCTGAGGCTGGAGTTTCCAAAGCAGGGATTGGACAGGGCCCAGAGGTTCTAGGACCTCATCTGCAAAGTCAATAGGTGAGAGTTCTCCAGGGGAGATGGAGCTCTTCCTGAGAGAAGCCTCGGGTTTTTTTTCCAAGAAACTTAATCTGTGTTTAGTGACTTGCGAGTTTTTATTTCCCTGAGAGATTAACAGCTCAACCCCTGGGGAATCAGAGAAGTCTTTAGATTCACTGAAGGGGGAAGATGGGATATTGACTCCCTGAAGTGAATTTCAATCAGTAAGACATATATCCTTAGGGGAATATATGACTCCCCCAAGAGCAAAGACACCAGTCTGAATGAAAGCATGTCCTAAGAGCTCTTCTTGCCTGAAACATCTAGAAGTGTCACACTCCTGAAGAGACCACAGGCCCAGTCTGTAAAACCCCAGACCATAAGCAAAGAGGTCTTTGTCTTTACATCAAGATCAACCAAAGTTCTGAGTCTCATTCATTTGAAGAAAGGCTCAGGTCCGTGACTGAATGGTGGGGTGGAGGCAAAGAACACATCTCCGAGATGAAATCTAGACCCTGGTCTCCAAGGACACAGGTATCAGTCCACTGATAGAAAATACAAGCCAATGTCACTCAGAAAGGGTATGAGACAGGAAGTCTCTGGTCCTAGGTATTGGTTTCAGCCTTTGTCTCCAAGGGTTAGAGAACTTTATTTCCTGGAAGAAGTTTCACATCCCTGGAGGGATGCTTTGAAAATCACTACCTACAGGTGTGAGAGTTTACTCTAAACCCTCAATTCTACAAGGAGGTGGTCTAGGTCCTTCAATAGATGCTTGACACTCCCGAGGAGGTCACGGGCATGGCTGGTCAACAGACCTGTCAACTCTGCAAAGGCGAAAAGGGTCCTTCCTACATGAAGAATATCAGATTCTTTAAAGTTTTAGGTTTCTTGGGTATGCTTAGACCTTATCTTTAAGTACACTTCCTTGTCTGAGTTGTTTGGAGAGAAAAATCTCAGACTCGTCCCCCCCCCCCAAAAAAAAACGCTCTTAAAGTCACTGACCCAAAGTCCCTTAGCAAGATCTGAGATCTCCAACCTACCTGTGACTCCTGGGGCCTTCCAACCATCAGTCATGCAGATGAGACCCCAGGACCAGGACTGACAAGTATGGGGTGCAAAAGAGCTCCAAGTTCTCATCTAGAAGTATCTTAGCGTACTTAGGGCCCCTAATACTGTCTTTGAAGCGGGGGAATGAGGTTTCATCATGCCTTCTCCACCAGATCAGGTTCAGCAACAAGACCTAAATTTCTAGGACCCATCTGAAACAACACTTCCTTAGGTCCTTTTCAGTCTGGCGGACTCCCGTGCTCTCACCTTCCAGCCCTTACCTGTTCCACAGTGGCAGGATCCATGGCCTCGATTCGTGCCGCGGCAGCTTCATATTCGTCTTCACTGTTGTAGCCTGCTCCGACCTCTTCACGCTCCGGACTGCCCCCGCCAACTGCGCCAACGCCGGGAGCTTGACGCCGCCGCTTGCTGTGCCCCGGGCCCGAGCAGCAGCCGCCCACGCCCACAGCACCACCCACGCCCACCACCACCCCTGCCGCGCCCACCCCCGCAGTTGCCGCACCAAGAGCGTCACCAGGACCGCCGCCGGGGCCACCAGGGACCCCACAAGGAGGTGGAGAAGCCTGCTGTGGCCGAGGGCCCGCCACTGCACCAGGCGGCATGGCTAGTGCCCAACGATGAAGAGCACCAGGCGGCCCCGGTAGTGGGCCCTGAGGTGGTGGTGAAGCCCGGGGACGAGCCCCCACGACGCCGGAGTCACGGTCGCGTTCTCCTCCACCCACGCCCGTGCCGCCGCCGACCACGCCCACACCCCCACCGCGTCGAGGCGCTGGGGGCAGCGGCCCGGGCGGCGGCGGTTCGTTGGCCGGGTCAGTGTCGGGAGGTGGCGGCTTCTTTTTGGGGAGAATAGTCATGGCGGCACCGCCAAGTACCCCACAGCAAACCAGTCGCGGAGAACGCCGGGAGAGAACCCGGATGAGGGGGCTACTGTTGTGCGCGAAGCACGATGGGAACAGAGAGGCCTGGATAAAGAGACCGGCACACCGGTTCGAGAACCGTAGGCAGTACGCAGGTCACGCCCGGAGGAGATCCCGGATGTGAGGTCCAATAGGATGGTACAGAGACGAACTTGTTGTAGCTTTTTCTCCCTCCAAGTCCAGCCAAGCTTATTGCTACCTTGTTCCAGGATTCAGCTTCAAAGGAAACACAACCAAAACAAGCACCTCTTCGCCCCGCCCCTACACAGGTTCTTGAACTACCGGGTGGGGCCTCCCGGGCTATGCGCACGCGCAGCGGGACACAACCCGGTCTCTTTTACGGAAGTACGTGGGCAAAATCGTCGCCGCGGTCCCAACGGCACATATCAACCAATTGAAGAAGCTGCGTAAAGCCTTGACAACACGCACGAGCCAATCAGGGATGAGCGCTCTCTCTCTCGTGTCCTCCATCTCAAATTTCAAAGTCTGTAGCCGTGTTCCCAGCTTTTCTCGTCGGTTCCGTTCTGTTCTTTATTTCCTCCAAGGTCCTAACCCACAGGCAGCGGTACTATAAACAAACAAAATGGCGGGCCTCGCGAACAGTACACCCCGTTTCCTCAAGGAGCCCATCTGGAACTCAGAACACACTCATTGGAAACTATCAACATTCCCAGAGCGTATCATCCCCTCTGTCATCACGTCCGGTACTACCCACCTGTAAACCGGAAAAGGCGGCACCCTGCTTCACCCTGACAACAAACATAATCTTGCGGTGATTGGCTTAACGATTCTGCCCATCATTTCAGATCGGCCAACCGCTAGATAGACATGCACCCTACGGATAGTGTTTGGAGGAAAGACACGCCTTCTCTGTCACCTCCGCCTTCTTAGCCTCACGTTGACCTCCTCAAGCCCATGGCTATTGCGCAGGCGCGGAATAGCCTTTATCGCCACTTGCACCGCCCCCCCATCCTAGTTTACTCAGGAAAAGAGAAAGTTTACAAATCAACACTGTCAGCAGCTAGTGTCTCCCAGTGGTGTTGGCAAAATCCTTGATATTGAGCAGCTAGAACGCTACTAGCGTGACCCTTAATGTTTGAGTATTTGGAGCAAGTTAGTTAACACCTGATCCATCCTCTATTTCTAGTTCTCTGTAAAACAGCAATAATTTCTGTGTTAGAAATTAATGCCAATAAATGGCCTGGTTCTGTGCATGGCGCACAGTAAGTGCTACATAAATTAGAATCTATGGTAATGTGGGAGAAGGATCCTGGACTTTGATTCCGTAGAAGGAAAACCTCGGTTCTAGGCACACATGGAAACTTTTGCAAATCATTGTCCCTTTTAAGATTTCCTATCCAAAGCGCAATATCAGCAATGGGTTATCATCGTTCTGGAAGTTCAGGCAGGACAATCAAGAGCTCAAAGCCAGGGGCTAAAAAGACAGCTAAGTGGTTAAGAGTATTTTCTCAGCCAGGTGGTGGTGGCGCACGCCTTTAATCCCAGCACTCAGGAGGCAGAGACAGAAAGATCTCTGTGAGTTCTAGGCCAGTATGATCTATAAGAGCTCATTCCAGGACAGTCACCAAAGCTCAAAGCTACACAGAGAAACCCAGTCTGAAAAAACCTGGGGGGGGGGAGAGAGAGAACACGCATTTGCTCTTCCAGAGCAGTTTCAATTTCCAGCACCCACATGGTGGTTCACAACCATCTGAAACTCCAGTCCCAGGGATCTGAAAACCTCTTTTTGCCTCAGCCTGCTGTAGGCATGCTAGTGATGCAAACACATACATGTAGACAAAACACCAATACATATAAAATAATTTTAAAGAGAGAGAGTTCAAGGCTAGCCAGGACTACATGGTGACCCTGTCTCCAACAAAAAATATTTTGGAGGAAACAGAAAGACCACCTAACCACCTCCCTTCAGATGCTAACCCTAACAGAAGCTTTTCTCCGAAAGGCATCAGTAATACGTGGGTACATACAGGTCCTAGTGATGTTTTCTGTTCCTGAGAAGACTCATATCTCCTGGGACTTCCGTATTCAGGGATTTCTGCCCAATGCTGATGAACATTATACCGACTTGTCTTATGGTTGTCTTTGGACACATATCTCATTGCCTACAGGATATCTGCTCAGCACTACCCGCCTAAAACTAGACTAGCCTTCATCCAATACTTAACTATATACCTGACATTGTAGTAAAAGCTTTCATGTGTCCTTTAATAGCAAAACAACCCCTCCACCAGTTATTACCCAAACCAGAAACCTGAGTCAAATTTGACAGCTTCCTCTTCTCCAATTCCCATTTGCCTGTCAATTCCAAGTCCTGCTAATTCTATCCCTGGAATTTCATGACTTTCTTTAGTTTGGCTTGGTTTGGTTTTGAGACAGAGTTTCTCTGTGTAGCTTTGGAAGACTGTCCTGGAATTTGCTCTGTAGACCAGGCTAGCCTCGAACTCACAGAGATCTGCCTGCCTCTGCTTCCCGAGCAACAACTTTTGAATTCTATTGCTATCAAAATAGGCAAGCCAACATCCCCTACCAAATGGACTATCACAAAAGTCCTTGACGGAGTCTCCTTCACTCAAGACTTTTTCTCCATAACTTTTACCTCATGGCCAAAATTATCCTTCTGAAATGGAAACTTAATGACTTCCCTGTTTCTGAGTCTTCAGTGGTCCCCCCTTATGCAAGGCCTTTTGCAACCTGTACTATCTACTTCCCTCCCTTCAGCCTTGCACCCTCCTTCCCAGTTAGACTGAACTACTTTCAGTTCCCCAAAGGCATTGAGCTCACTCTCTAGCCTCCAGATCATTGGACACACTGTGCCCTCCACCCACATTTTCAGCCTTTCCTCTCTTGCCTAACTCCAACTCCTTGTATACATACAAATCTTATGATAGCTAGTTTAGGTTACCTTGCCATCTATGTTTCGATAATTCATCACTCTTAGTTCCACCACCTCGTATTGGAATTGCTTCTCTGCCTTCCATGCGCAACTCTGTATATTAAACATAGTAATGCCTCTTTGCCCATCATTGTATCATAGTGCTACTACATGATGGGCAGTTAATAAATATTTGATGATTAAAAAACTACTGGCCGAGCCGGGCGATGGTGGCGCACGCCTTTAATCCCAGCACTCGGGAGGCAGAGGCAGGCGGATCTCTGTGAGTTTGAGACCAGCCTGGTCTACAGAGCTAGTTCCAGGACATTCTCCAAAGCCACAGAGAAACCCTGTCTCGAAAAACCAAAAAAACAAACAAACAAACAAAAAAACTACTGGCCGGGCAGTGGTGGCGCAGGCCTTTAATCCCAGCACTTGAGATGTAGAGGCAGGTGGATCTCTGTGAGTTCAAGACCAACCTGGTCTACAGAGCAAATTCCAAAACAAACTCCAAAGCTACACAGGGAAACCCTGTCTCAGAAAACAAAAACAAAAACTAAAACAAACAAAAAATCTATTTCAAATTAGCGACCTGACACAAAAGTTGATCCTCTCACTCAAGGCTTGAAACATGGCAGTCTGAATCCACTATTTGTCTTCGCAGTGTTCTACAGAGCTCAGTCACATACTAGCCTGGCGTGGCCAGCATCCAGGAGTGAATGTAGGGGACATCCATGACAAAGGAGGATATAACAAACTCAGAAATAATTTTATTAGGGTTAAATGTGTAGGGTTTTGCTATCAGAAAACATGAGCTTTTACCCCTCTAAGTAACAACAATGTTGCTCTGGATCTTGGTTTCTCCATCTGTGAATGAAGGACTTGGAATAGATTAATATCCGTGGTACACCACTGGGCATGGTGGCATATGCCTTTAATCCCAGTATTCATGAGACAGAGGCACGAAGATCTCTTGAGTTCAAGGTCAGCCTAGTCTATAGAGCTAATTCCAGAACAGCCAGGCCTATACAGAGAAACCCTGTCTTGGAAAAAATCCCAAGATACATCAGTCTTAGTACCCTTTGGCCTGCTTTACTGCCTCCAGAGACCAACTCTTCCTATCACCTTCTTTCATTTCTCCATGATCCTCATCTTCATTCAAGAATACATCACTAGCCATCCGCCTCCCATACCCCATACTTCTACCCACATCAGCCCCTTCACTGTTGAAAGAAATTGAGACCAGAGTGTCCTTAACCCCTAAGCCAAGCCCTCAAAGTCAATCCAGAGTCAGTAGATGCTCAATCCACATCTCTCCTCTTAAGTTTTATTGACTGATGAAGACTTCATCTTTGTCAGCTGCAGGTTTCGGGGTGGGGGGCAGAGCTGGGAGACAGGGAACCTGAGATGACGTGAAATTTCAGTCTGAGAGCACAGATCCAGCAGGTGACCCAAGAGAGAGAGGAGAAGACTATGTGGAAATTACAGGAGGAGGCAATCAAGAAGTCTCTTCTGTCCCTCCCAGGGTTCAGAAACAACCCAGGCTTCTGCCTACACTTCTGGACTCCTGCCCAAGACGACAGAGTCAGCCCATGATCTCAAAACCCAGCCCTGCTCGAGCTGGGTGCCAGGCTCTTATCTCAGCAGGTCCAGAATCCAGACCAACCGAAGAAAAAAAACACCAGAGAAGAAAGTAGTTAGATGTGGCCCATCTGATTGGGGCAGATGTATATGCTGCAGCAAATCGCTCGGAGGCTTTGCATATGGTTACGGCAGCAGCTGCTATTGCTAGAGTTTGCTGGAGGCCCAGCAGAGGGCAGGTGGCAGGAACTCATTTCCAGCAGCCAGGGAAGCAGGTGGTGGTGTTTGTGCTATCTCTGTGTTAGGAGAAGCAGCCTGAGCCCTCAGCCAAAGCTTGGGGTAGTGGGTCACTCCAGAGGCCACAGCCCATTAAGCCAGCCCACAGCTTCCAAATCTGGGAAGTGCTGGGCCTGGTGAAGGGCAAAGACCTTGCCCACTATAGGCAAAATTAGAGTTGAGGGTTCTCTTTTCTGAACCCTCGAACTTGCACAGCACAACCAAAGAGAAGAGGAACTCTCATCTCTTCTTGTCAGGCCAGACCTCAAATGTTAGACTACAGAGCACTTTAACCTGCCTCTGAGGGCCCAAGGGAGGAGCATGCAAGAGGCCAGGTTAGGAGAGAGAGGCCAGTCCCGGCATGCTGAGGCAAGGAGGCCAGGACCTATGAAGTCCCAGTGCTTCAGCTCCTGTTAGGAAAATTGTTTCCCATGCCCTAGCTACTTCCCCA